ATATATATATATATATATATATATATATATATATATATATATATATATATATATATATATATATATATATATATATATATATATGTAAAATTTGGATTGCTAACAAAGAATTAAGGGAGAATGGAATAGCTATTTCGAACTTTTTAGCTCTCATCAGCCAAACATACCCTTCAATATCTGTACCTAAAGTCATACAATATATTGAAATTAAGATACTATTCACATGGAAATTATATTATAAATTTTTTTACATCTTTTTCATTTCTTAAAAACATACAATTAATAAACTATAAAAATATGACAATGTAGATGGATAGTAAATATGCTCCAGTAGGTGTCTATTCGTAACCACCATGATATGATGCAAACACATCACATTTTGTTACTTGTGCCATAGTGTCATATACACATTTCATCATTTATCCCCTTTCTGTAGATACTACCATAGTTTTCTAACAGTTCCAGTAAAGCAAAATAAATTATGGAATTAAAATCCATGATATAATATTCTGTGGACATCTGTTCTCTGTTTTCTGTGTGTATATTTATGTATACTTAACTTATTTATATAAGTTAAGAATGTCGAGTTTGTGCTTTATACTCACATTATTATAGTGGCACATATCTACTCCTACTTGTACTCCAGTGTCTTCTTTCCATGAATGGTGGCTTCATATGTCATTGTTTTCAAAATAAATATATAAACTTACTGTTAATTCTTTACTGCATTCTGGACTTGAACAATTATGGTAAGTAACTGAAAACAGTTAATATCTATATGTGTGACTTAAATAACATATATTGCAAAGAATATATGTTATGTTATTCAATATAGTTCGTAATAAAAAGTGGTTTACATCCTAAAGTTCCAGATTAAATCCTTGGAATGATCAAGTAGGAGGATAAGACATTTCTGTCTCAAATTCTGGAGAACAACAATAGAGATGTTGAATAAATAGACAAATAGTCTGACTTGATATAAGACAGCATTCTATGTTCTACCATGCTATGATTCCAAAGTCCTTCCAAGTATGAAATGAGGAAATACAGTGTGAGCTCTGTTGAATGCATGTGCTATTAAAACCACTGATTTTAGTTTAAAGATGTTTCTTGTAATTGACTGGGCAGTAGAAAGTTTCACCAAATATGTTATCATCTTCAGAATACAATATTACAATCTATCAAAAATATACAGTGTGAAGGGCTTACTAAATATTTATATCGATTAAAAGTACATTTGTAATTTTTGGTGCAGGGATCTACTGGGTTTCCTGGATTTTCAGGTTCTAATGGAGAGAAAGGAGGAAGGGTAAGTCATAGCAGTTTACCTATAAAGTTATGAATGTATGGATTTTGAATTTGGGATCATTAAACAGATTGGGGTGTTCAATATTATAACATTTCTTATGTTGGATGGTGCTCAAACTAAAGTATCAAGTCTTCGTAAATAAAAAAAAAAGAATGCTGTACATATCCATTATGGCTGCAATTTAAGCAATGTGAAGCCCTATTATACACAGATACTGCTTAATGAGATCCCACGACACAGGTTGGGCAGAGTACACAAGCGTAGACAGTCAGGATTATTTTTCTTCCTCCTACACCTGGCTAGTGAAAAGGAGATTGATTAATTGATTAATATGTTTGATATAGCTGGCCATTGCATACAAACGTCTCTGGATGGTTTATAAGAACTATAACTCAGAAAGACATATGATGTACCCCAGCTTGCAAGAATAAACAACAAATCCACTAGAACTCATCTAACCATCTGACCCAAATGGCTGGAGAAATAGCCAGATCTTCAATGCCTTGCAAAAAGCCAAACAGGGTTGGGAACCCTCTGAATCTCTGGAGGGATGTTTTCAGGTGCTGCCAGTGAGACATCATGACTCTGGTGTGATTGCTTGATAGAAAGGCCCTGGAGTTGAAGCTGATGAAGGTATAAGCGGATGGTCAAACTAAGTATATCATTAAATACATAAAAGGCAAAGAAAATTTGCAGACAATTATAGAGTGTGAATAGGAAATTCAATTCCCATGCTGAAATTATAAGAAACTGTTCTTCTGAAAGCAAATGCTCATATACTATGCTTTGGGGAATAACACTCCCCCCCATGATGTCATTGAAAAGCCAACTTGTCTCAACTCGGCAGACAAAAATAGAATAAGCTTCTAAACAAAACATTTTTAAGCAGATAAGACATCAAGAATTTGCTGTTTCGTTGAAGATGGCGAATACATACATAATGCTGACTCAGCAAATTGTCAAAAATTCACAGCATCGGTATCCATAAAAGCTCAGCTGGATGTAGCTGATTGCTTGTGATAGAGCTGCGCGAAAGTCATCAAAGGGGAAAAGACGGGCTGACAGTTATACTTCATGGTAGCTTAGTGTGCCATTAAGTGAGACTGAAGTAATGCATGCCATTAATCTGCCTATCATTTCATTTTATTTAATGGGAATGAAATTTATCACTTTAAATGTCTAGATACAGAGTTCCATATGAGCACTGCTTGCCACATAAATTGGCAAAACTATATTTATAACTAAAGGGGACTCATGAATTCCTAACTGCTTGCACAATTAATCTTTAAGAGAATGGGGTTCCCTTCTCCACATGGAATTTTCTGAATCCTTCGAAGACATATAAATATTATATCATGTATATGTGAAGGGTAATAAAAGTGTTCAAATTTAAAAGCATCTAGCACATGCCTATTCTGTAGCACATCAAGTAATAAAGACAGATGGAGTATGGGGAAAGGAAGAGAAGAGAGTAGGGAGAAACACCAGTCCCTCTTTTTACAATTTATCAGTAGATTAAATTTCTCAGTTATAATTTAAAGTAGAACTGGGCAACTGTTAGGTTGTCAAGAGCTACATGTAATTTTTGGGAGGGAGACTGAGGATTTTAAAGTTGATGGGACTACTTCACACAAATGGGTGAAATTTTGAGGTCCTTCTTTTTTTTCTTACTTATAATACATACTGTAGTAGGGGTTTCATCTTCCTTTTCATTTTCAAACTGACAGGAAACCCAACCATTAATTTTCTGATGGAACACATACATCCATACTCCTCTTCTATGTATGTATGTATGTATGTATGTATGTATGTATGTATGTATGTATGTATGCATGCATGTATGTATGCATGTATGTATGCATGTAGTAACACATTAGAAATTTTAGAATCAAATAATGTAGCTTAGGATCAATACCTTCATTATGAAATTAGTGTCTTGATGTACTCTCTTTCTTCATTGTTTTTCATTTTGTTTCCAATTTTATATTTAATTTTGAAGAAAAAGTAAAATAATTGTTTTTAACACTAATATTCAAATGGTAATTAACTCCCCTACTTCCTATCAAAATTCAGTACTCTAAGGTACCTAAATAATAGAATATCAAGAAACAAAGTATATTATATAAATCTTGTATAACCTATTAAATCTGAGAAGATGGAGCAATAGATGGTTTATATTGCTAGATATAATATGTTAAAAGACTGAGTTAGTTCTAAATTAACTTTTTATGGATATATCTTTAGTTTTTCAAATATCTATATATATATATATATGTATATATATATAGATATACATATATGTAGGTCTTTAGTTATTCGGGTTTTCTCCCGCGTAGAATTAGAAGTGTCTTGGCGACGTTTCGACGAAGTCACATTCGTCATCTTCAGGCTGGTGTCTTCAGCTTCGTGCTTCTGGGACTAGTCCCAGAAGCACGAAGCTGAAGACACCAGCCTGAAGATGACGAATGTGACTTCGTCGAAACGTCGCCAAGACACTTCTAATTCTACGTGGGAGAAAACCCGAATAACTAAAGACCTACATACAAACACCCGCGAAAACCTCAGAAAACAAATATACATATATATGTATATATGTATATACATATATATGTCCAAATTTCTTTTTCTGACAAAGAGTTAAAGAATTAAATTGGGAGACTAAGATGGCCATTTCGAGCTCATTCTGCTCTCTTCAGTTAGCCACACCCTTTATGGGATTCGAACCTGGGCAGTTTACATACTAGGCAGTGATTTAACCACCAAGCCACAGGCTTTCCTCTCCTTTTTGCCAGCCGAGTCAAGGGAGTATATACAGGAAGTTTTTCAGACAGACCGGTCTGATTGATTACACCTTGACATTTTAACTGCTATACTGCAGTTTTTACTTTTTACAATATATTTTGCCTTGCAGCCCCCCAACTAGGGGCATTAAGCAGGCTCAAGTCGCAACTGCAAAAC